CCTGGCTAAAATCCCTCCTGCTCCCAGGCCCCCAGCCAAAATCCTCTCCTGCTCTCTGCCCCCGGCCAATCAGACTGCCCCAAATTCCCCCTGCTCACTGGCCAACCCCTCCCGCCCTGACCTTTGTGGATCGGTCGACCAGGGAAGCCTTTGTTGACCGCTCCCTTATGCCTTGTGAAACTAGGTTTACCAGAGCGGTCTAGTCTGCCCTGCTGTGCCGGATCAGCTGATCGTCGGCACAGCTTGGCGGCCATTTTTATTTTACTGAAGCAGGGATTATTTAAATTCCCGCTTCTTTGCCTATGCTGAATAAACGCTTTTACATAGCTCCGTCAACGGAGCCATGTAGTTTAGACATAGCCTCTAATACAGATCTTTTTTGACCACTTGTTCTGAATTTTGATGTAGTTTGAATCTTTGATTTGAAAAAGTTGCCAACCCCTGCACTCTTGTGTAGACATACCCTTACCATATGGCACACTACTTCAGGGTAGATTCATATGCCTACTCTAAATGTTTATGTAAACAAACTCTTAGTTCCCCTGAAAGTCAACAGAATTAGATGCTTTTAAAAATGGAGCTTATAGCATTACAACTGCTATAGTGCTGCAGCTATACCACTGCAGCAGCATTGTGTGAATGCTCCCTACATTGATAAAAAGGTGGGTTTTTTTTTGTTAATTTAGTTAATCCATTTTTCCAAGAGATGGTAATCAGATGAAAGGAAGAATTTTTCAGTCTGCTTATCTGCATCTATTCCAGTTAGATCAATCTAAATATGGAACTCAGAGAGTGAAATGTTTCAGTGCTCTGAATAACACATCTAGTTCACACTAATTTTTAAGGTGTATATCTGAGAGTTCTAAGTCACTGAGAAATTTTTGAAAACTTTTACACTGCACAATTTTTTCAAAATAAATTCCAATATTTACTGTGGTCCAACTAATGCTAAAGATGCGTCTCATTAAAAAAAGGCCTTAACTACTGTTATGCCCAATTGCAGCAATTTCTTCTGCAGCAATTCATTAATTATAAACACTATTAAGGACATGTGATATTTAAAAATACATGTCGTTAGTTCCAAAAAGTAAAATATTTTGTTGCATTATAGTACTTACTTGTACTTCACCACTTACTTGTACTTCACCAACCTATTCTTGTACTTCACCACTGTGTACATATATTACATAATTATTATGCAGACACAGCTGTTCCAATGTTGATCAAACTCATACATGTGAGTAGTATGCCTGAATTAAATAAATGCGTGCCTGTCCAAGAACAGGTGCTACATACTACAAACTATTATCCTGTATAATAGGTCTCTCATGGGGATTCAGAGTCCCAAGGTATGGAACTGATATGTGAACACTGATTTCAGATGAGATAAAGTGAGATGGAATTAATCTTCACCTCTACATTTTAAGGAATGCAGAGAACATGGGCAAGCAGTCAAATAATGAAAGGGCTACGGAAGAGAAAATCACAACCCATCAGTTACAGTATATTTGCCTTCAGTCTCCACCACCTGACACTTGCAGAATCTAGTCAAATTGATGGAAGTTTATAGGAAGCGTAACTCTGCTGATAATAGGCTTCATATAACCCAAGTATTAAAATATTAACAACTATGACAGTAAGAAAAGTTTGCAGTTACTTTCCTGCAGTAAACAGTATGTGTTAATGTGTTCAGATGAGCTGATGCCAGCCAGTTACTGAGCCACAGAAATACTGCAAAAAACAATAGGTGATCATCACCCCAAGGCAAAGATCTCACATTTTTTAATAAAGACAATTTCTATATTGTCAATCAACTGGCTACTGGCTGAAGAGAAAGACAGCTATAGAACCATTAACTACAACAAAGCACATATCTTTTGTAAACCTACACACACATGACAACTTACCTGACACTGGATTCTGAAAATATGCCTCATTATTTATTACCACCATCACTGAAAAGTCCTATAGCATTAAATATAAATAGACTTGAACCTCTTTAATCCAGCAATCCTGGGAAACAGCATTTGCCTGAAAAGCCTCCAGCAGAGCATGTCACTGTGCTGCCATTCCCCCATAAGAGGGGGGAGGGCAAGTGGCAGTGCGCAGAGCTGCTTCCGCCTCTACCCACCAGGGTCTATACAAGAGGTGTTCCCGAATTAGGGACACCCAGGCTGTGTCTCCACTGCATCCCTTTTCCGGAAAAGGGATGCAGATTAGACACTTCGGAATTGCAAATCCGCGGGGGATTTAAATATCCCCCGCAGCATTTGCATTTACATGGCTGCCGCTTTTTTCCGGCTTGGGGATAAGCCGGAGAAAAGCGCCAGTCTAGACGCGATTCTCCGGAAAATAAGCCCTTTTCCGGAGGATTTCTTATTCCTACTTTCAATATAAATAATAAACACAATATAAATAATAAACACAAATTTGAGAATATGAGATGTAAATATCTAAAAGCCAAGTAGTGAAAATCAAGATGACATTAAAAGAAACACATCATATCAAGAGATATTCTTACCTATGCAGCTGTAAATATTCTCTAGGTCTATTTAACAGGTGAAGGAATTGGTCAACAATCTTGTTTTTTCCCACACCCTGCAATAATATATATATTTTTTAAATTACAAAAAAAGAAGACTATTTTAACGTCCAAGAATTGTCAAGAGAATAAAGTCAGAACTCCTTTACAATATAGCAAAATCTCACACCACAAGATATGATCACATTTACAATACTATTTTTCCTAACAACATATTTTGTCTGTCCTAATACACACACACACACACACACACACACACACAGTGATACAGTATGTGTGTGTGGGGGGGCGAGGTGTGTGTGTGTATGTGTGTATATATACACACATCCACACATATATTATACAAGTAACAGCTGAACAGAAATAGATGTGCAGCAGTTATCATATTACCAGTTGTACTTTCCCTCTTAGAAATATTATTAGTTTTGTAGTTCTTATTTCTAGTCTTTATTTCATATTCAGCATTATTGGTTTAAAAAGACAGCAGATTTAACATGTACAGGTTGAGCATCTCTAGTTCGGCACTCTCTGGTCCAGCAACACCTATGGTCCAGCCTCATTTTTTGAGGCTTACAGGATCTTTCAAAAAAGTGCCCCGTTTTCAAAAGAACTGCTTTTAGACTGCAGTTTCAATTTCGAAATAGCGCTTTTTCGAAAGAGCGCCATTACGTGATTATGCAACTGAAGCACGGAATATTTAAATCCCGTCTTCATTTGCACTTTCAAAGTGCTTCATTTACATCCCTCTGCCGACAGAGAGATGTAGTTGAAACACACCCTTAGGAATGAAAAATCAAAGGCACAACTACAAAATGGGGAATAAAGGGCTAAGTGGCTGAAATGGATGCGGTGATTATAGTGGATCACAAAATAAATATGAGTCAACAATGTGACACTGTTATGAAAAAGGTTAATATCTTTGTGGGGTGTATTACAAGGAGTGTCCTATATAAGACATAGGAGGAAAAAGGTCTTGCATTCACTAGGCCTCAGCTGGAGTACTATGTTCAATTCGTGGATGATTGTTTTTAAAAAAATTTGACCTATAAGGAAAGGTTAAAAAATGTGGATGTTTAGTCTTGAGAAAACACAATTGATATGTTAAGAGCTATTATAAAGAGGACTGTGATCAATTTTTCTCCATGTCCACTAAAAATAGGACAAGAAGTAAGGGTCTTAATCTGCAGCCAAGGATATTTACATTAGATATTAGGAAAAACTTTCTAAATAAAAGGATAGATAAGTTCTGGAATAGGTTTCTACAGGCGATTGTGGAATTACCATAATTGGGGAGGTCCTCATGATTTTAAAAATGGGTTAGCCAATCATCTCTTAGGGATGGTCTACGTCTACTTGTTTATTCCTTAGGACAGGGTGTTCGATTTGATGAATTTTCACAGTCCCTTCCTCCTCTACATTTCTATGATTTTATGAACCTCTATATTTCATGATTTAGCTTCTACTACATGAATAAATCAAGTTTTTCAAGATTTCATGTAATCTGAATCTGCAAATGAAGTCAAATCTTTATACACAACTGTGACAGGGAATTTGCTTTGTATTACTGGCATTTTTGTTTTTAATAATTGCCAGTATCCTGAAATCACAAACTTGAAAAATTATAGGACTACATAAAGTCAAAGGACACACATTTTATCAGAAAGAAATAAAATACAGGTGGAAACCTGTAATATCACATATGGAGATAGTAATGCACCCATACGCTGCTGTTACTGCAGCTACGAGATTTTAAAAACCATAAACAGTCTGATACACTGAAATGTTCCATCTAGTTTCAGAACAGCTACATAGTTGGAGAACTGCATAATGTACTTTTTAAAAAGACCTTCAAAAATATGGCAGATGGCAGCAGTCATTATGTGCCAATCTCTAGTAGATTTCATGCCCAACTCTCCACAGAATAAGGCTTGAGCCAACTGTGGCAAAAAACAAACCGCAGAGAGACAGATGAACATACAGAATTGGTACAGAACATATCAAATATCAAACAAATTGGATATTCTACAAAAGAAGAAAGGCTTTTTGGCAAAAGAAAAAGAACATGGTTTGTCTGCATGTCTGTAATACTGTCTTCAAAATTCACACTCATACAAATAAGATATTTTCCAACTACTAAACAATATTGCTTTCTCCACCTCTCTAATGGATCAGAGAACAACATGGCTGCCTTTTGTTTTCTTCTTTCAAAGCTATCATTGCTAATGAGAGTAAGAACATGTCTAGCTTCCAAAAGAATGCTCAGATACTAAATTGACACTGTAAAGCACCAATGAATGCAGTGAACAGTGCTAACACAACTCAGGGTGAAATCCTGCCCCATGAAGTCAATGGGAGTTTTGTTACTGACTCCAGTGGAGCCAGGATTTCACCTTACACTTTTTTTTGTTTGTTTCATCAAATACAAGCTCTTTTTTCTTACAGCTTTATTTTATATCCAAGGGAATGATTTATTTCTAAAATATGCATATAATATTTAGAAACAAAACAGGCATTTGCCACTAGATCATAACTATAAAAATTTTAAGGTTGGTCAACTTTTAAACTTAGCTGCTTGAAGAAGTACAGTATGTTCCTGCACAGATACTGTGGTGTACCACACAAAATCCTTGTTTGGCAAAAATGGTTAGGGAAATCAGCTCTTTCAAGCTCTTTCATTCTATTCCCGGCTCTCCCACAGACTCGTTCTGTGACAAGTCACCACTTCTGTATGCCTCAGATTTTCATGTAAAATGGAAATATCTAACCAGAGTAAGTCAGTGATTAATGCAGTGTGTATAAATCAGCTGTCTGGATGCAAAAGCTTCATGTAAGTGTAAACTATTACAATCATTAAGGACAACCTTCCAGCAAGAGGGAATGATTTAATTTAACACTTGAGGTACATCCAGACCCATTTAAGGCTCCTCTATGCCATTAAGAGACCACTAAAGCCAACTTAACTGACTTTCTGAGAAAAACCTAACTACACAATCCTAACTTATACAAAATTGTATAAAGAATGTGTTGGCAACATGGGCGGGGAAAAGAAACACTGCTGCATGTTAGAACAGCCTCATAGGAGAAGTTTCCAGTTGACCCAAGTTAGAACAACCCTGAAAGAAGCCTATGGTAACTGTGGAGATCAAAGAGCACAAAGATGGCATAAAGTCACCTTCCTTCTTATGTCATCTCGAGTCCTGTAGTAATGAGTCAAGAATTAAGCGCTCTCTTACATACCAACTGGTATCTAGAATAATGAGCAATGTCATATAAAAATGCTGAAAGTATTGGGTTGTTCTACGGGAAGATTACAATAACATATGATTTGTGCAATCTCATGTAACTGGCCCCTATGGATTAGACATATTTTACATCACAGCCCACAAGGAACATGACTAACTCAGCTGATCAGAAGCACTAGAAGAATAAATTAGTTGTTCTTTTCAGAGATATCTACATAGCACTGTGTCTGAAATATTTTCACTATATAAACTTAAACATACGCATTCATCAAAAAACTCCAGCCCCCTCATATACCAGTGGGGCCAGGGTTGGCAGAGCAGAAGCAGCGAGCATATGGGAGCGGGACCTCAATCACGCGGGGGAGGGGCTGTCCTAGCTCTGCGCAGGTCCCTGTGCCACCCAGTGGAGATGGATGGGGAGCTGGACAGCTCTCGGGGACATTGGGGGCGGACGCGATTCAGGGCTTTCTTCACACCCATTTCTTCACACATACATCCCAGTCCTGTCTGTCTGGGAGCCAGAGCTAGTGCTCCAGACCTTGTGGCTGCACAGGCTTCAGAGAAGGGGGAGTCTGAGCTCCTGCCGCGGACTCTGCGTGCCACTGAAAATCAGCTTGCATGCCACTTATAGCATGTGTGCCATAGGTTGCTGACTCCTGCCTAACCTAAACCTCCCTTGCTGCAATTCAACCAACTGCTTCTTGTCCTACTATCACAGGTTAAAGAGAATTTTTTTTCTCCCTCCTTGCAGAATCTTTTACATACTTGAAAGCATTATGTCCCCTTTCAGTCTTCTCTTTGCCACACTTATCAAACCCAATTCTTTCAAACTTCCCTAATTTTTGGTGCTCTTCCTTGGAGCTTCTCCAATTTGTCCACACCTTTTCTCAAATGTGGTACCCAGAACTGAATGCAATACTCCAGTTGAGGCCTAATCAGTAAAACAGAAGAATTACTTATCCGGTCTTGATTACAACACATGTTAATGTATATTTACTAAATTAATGTTTGTTGTAAGTGTAAGCTAGTATTAAGACCAGAGTTAGGATAGCACTTGAGGACAGAGAAGATCTAAAACATTACTACTTTGCATTTGCTGTGAAGTTGTAAAGAATGTTTCGTGGAGTTCAAGGGTCACCCAGCCCTCAAGCCATGGCAGACCCACTTGTGCCTAACCTGATACAAGCAGGTATACCCATTATATACCCATCCTGCTATAGTTACTTGTAGAGATGAATTTTGAAAAGAATTTTGAATGAAGAAAACAAAGTGTACTCGTGGAAGAAAATAAACAAATCCCACAGCCTGAATTCTGAGGAGGAGTAACCACATAAAAACAAAAAGAATCCTTCTCAACTCTTAAGAGCACATGAAGTGATTGAATCTGATATGCAATCAGTTTTCTATGTGGCTGCACAGAAGTACTTTAAGGTCGTCTTCTTCTTAAACCTTGGTACTCCGAGTGGAGCATAGGTCACGCACAAGTCTCCTCCACTTCACTCTGTCTCGTGACAAAACTTCTAGCTGACGCCAGGAGTAACCCGTTTCCAATAAACCTGGCAGTCTGGATGGCTACTAGTATACTTGTCTTTTTAGTTTTAGATTTCTCTGTAGTTATTTACATATTACAAAATTAGATTCCAATAACATTCTGAGATAAAATTGAAGGTTTATCAACAGCACAATAGATGCAACTTCAATGAAGCATACATAACTGAGTTTCACTTGCTTATACCAATGGTGAATTTGGTCCACACATTGTACAGAGATCTTTGTTTTAACTTACCTGGTTGCCAACTAAAAGAAGGTGTTCTCCCAGCAAAAAGTCTTTTAGCATATCCTCCATCACCATCATATGCTAGAGACCAAAAAATAAAAAAAAACAAAAAATTAAATACAATGCTTATGCACACTAAATAAATGCAAAATTATTGAAGTCTTTTTCACCAGAATCCTGATCACCACACATATATCTATATATTTGGTATTTTAAAGCAAGAAAATTGTCTCAATCAGAGCAGAGGGAATCTGTTCAGTAACTCAAACAATGATATACAGTTTTTAACTCCATTGATATACTAGCCTGCATTTTGACTGGTATTACGTGACTGATTTCTGTATTTCTCAATATGTGTTCAGAATGAATTTCCTTGTAATCTGGTGGGCTAATATTTGTCAACCACAGTGCAAGGACTGACATAATGACTGCACGTATGTAGACTGTCTCACCCAAATACCCCAAGAGAACCTGCTTCAATACAGAAATAAAACCCCTACCACTCACACACCCCTATCTACTACCTACCACTGCAAGGTAGAACTCATAAAAGGAAACATCAAACAACTACAAACTATAATCTGTGTGGGCTACATTCCGAAAAAAATCTTTCCTGAACCTCCTCTTTTGTCCTTTAGACCGGTGGTACCATTAGGGGTACGTGAGAGAAGTCTGGTGGATACATCAACACAAGTGAAATTTGGCAAAAAATGTCTGGGATTTTGCCCTGCAAAGGGGATCGGGGAGAGGCAGTGACACATGCCTGTCATATTGAATGTTTGGAGCCATTAACAGCCACTCTGCGCACACGCCCCAGCGCTGGTAGGAAAAGCGTTTGTCTGTGACAGCAGTTCCGGTGACACTCAGGGCAGTTCCAAGTTTGGGGGGGGGGGGAAATATGGGGAGAAAAAAAATCACTTCCATGGCTGCCTCTCCTAGTTCGTTTCCTCTCCAGCAGCCTCCCCAGGGCGCTCCAGCAGGAGGGAGGCTGAACTTGGAAACGCACATTACCCCCACCCTTCCAGCAGCTCAGTACAACGGACCCCAACGTCCCTTCCCCATGGAGCCGCGGAGAGGAGCTAAAAGGCGGTGAAGTGGCACAATAAGATTTGCTCCAAAAGATCCCCCCACATCAGTGGCATAGCGAGGTGGGCAGGGAGGCAGTTGCCCCCGGGTGCCATGCTAGGGGGGCGCTGGGCTGGGGTGGAAGCGCACAGCCCTGCACACTGAGCCTGATGCTGGCAGGCCACTTGCTCCCTGCAGACAAGCCACCGAGGCAGGCCAGGCAGTGGGAGCGGACACTTCAAAGGTAGAGTTACCATACGTCCGGTGCCTGGCTCGAGGGGAGGGCACTGGGTTAGAGCGGAAGGAGCTGGGGGGTGCCTGGCTCTGAGGTAGGGGAGGGCATTGGTTTTGGGGGTACTCAATTTTGTTTTGAAAGAGGGGTCCTTTAAAAAAAAAGGCTGAGAAACACTGCTTTATAGAATCATAGAACACTAGGACTGGAAGGGACCTCGAAAAGCCATTGAGTCCAGTCCCCTGCTCTCATGGCCGGACCAATACTGTCTAGACCATCCCTGATAGACATTTATCTAACCTACTCTTAAATGTCTCCAGAGATGAGGATTCCACAACCTCCCTGGGCAATTTATTCCAGTGTTTGACTACCCTGACAGTTAGGAACTTTTTCCTAATGTCCAACCTAAACCTCCCTTGCTGCAGTTTAAGCCCATTGCTTCTTGTTCTATCCTCAGAGGCCAAGATGAACAAGTTTTCTCCCTCCTCCTTATGACACCCATTTAGATACCTGAAAACTGCTATTATGTTCCCCCTCAATCTTCTCTTTTCCAAACTAAACAAACCCAATTCTTTATTGCTTCTTGTTCTATCCTCAGAGGCCAAGATGAACAAGTTTTTTTCCCCTCTTCCTTATGACACCCTTTTAGACACCTGAAAACTGCTAACATTTCCCCCCTCAATCTTCTCTTTTCTAAACTAAACAAGCCCAATTCTTTCAGCCTTCCCTCATAGGTCATGTTCTCTAGACCTTTAATCATTCTTGTTGCTCTTCTCTGGACCCTCTCCAATTTTTCCACATCTTTCTTGAAATGCGGTGCCTAGAATTGGACACAATACTCCAACTGAGGCCTAATAAGCACAGAGTAGAGTGGAAGAATGACTTCTCGTGTCTTGCTCACAACACTCCTGTTAAAGCATCCCAGAATCATGTTTGCTTTTTTTGCAACAGCATCACACTGCTGACTCATATTCAGCTTGTGGTCCAGTATAACCGTTAGATCCCATTCTGCCATACTCCTTCCTAGACAGTCGCTTTCCATTCTGTATGTGTGAAACTGATTGTTCCTTCCTAAGTGGAGCACTTTGCATTTGTCTTTATTAAACTTCATCCTGTTTACCTCAGATCATTTCTCCAATTTGTCCAGATCATTTTGAATTATGACCCTATCCTCCAGAGCAGTTGCAACCCCTCCCAACTTGGTATCATCTGCAAACTTAATAAGCGTACTTTCTATGCCAATATCTAAATTGTTGATGAAGATATTGAACATAACCGGTCCCAAAACAGACCCCTGCGGAACCCCACTTGTTATACCTTGCCAGCAGGATTTTGAACCATTAATAACTAATCTCTGAGTATGGTTATCCAGCCAGTTATGCACCCACCTTATAGTAGCCCCACCTAAGTTGTATTTGCCTAGTTTATTGATAAGAATATCATGCAAGACCGTATCAAATGCCTTCCAACCTCTCCAAACTCAACATCAGAGGCAAGCGATGTGGGTCCTATGCCCAGTCTTGGTGATATGCTCAGGGAGTCCAGAAGGGCTACTGCAGCAGAGCTAGTCACTGAACTGGCCTAGATACTGGGGTGACCTGAGCATGCTTGTCCCCATGTCAGTGAGAAGAGTGGCACTAGCTACTGTGAGACCTGTAACACTCTGGCTCTGATTCTGAAGTTGACTCCAACCAAGATGATTGAGGTTGTGCCGCACCAAATGGTACAGGTGAACGTTGCACCCATGTCAGATCTCTGGAAGTCTGACACCGATGGGATTGTTCCTGGGAGCGGTGCCAGGGTGACCGATCTCAGGATGCTCAGTTTCGTAGTGAAATTGAGCACCGCATCATAGCAGGTTTGCCTCTTGACTGTGCTGGACCAATAACTGGGGATTGCTGCCTCAGGGAGCCCCTAGAGGATGTTGAGTAGCTGAACATCATCTCTGTTAAGTCCGGGGCCGCTTTGTAAGTCTCAGGATGGCCACATTCCTCATATAGCTATTTCTAGTAGGAGATACTACTCTTACTGGACTCGATGGCCCAAACTGCGGTGCCAGAGTCGACGGTGCCAACTGATCTCTCAGCAATGAGAAGTGTCGTGACACAGGACACACTCCCTTAGATTTAGTCACCTTGGGCTGCTTCTGCCACTTACAGACACTGGAAAGCGAGAGCGATGTGCAAAGTTGGAGCCAAAGTCTTCAGTGCTAATGAATGTCAGTGCTGCAGTGTCTTTGAGGCCAAGACCTTTTGTGGCCCCGTGGTGTCCCATGCAGAAGATGGTGCACTCTGCACCAAGGACATCTACTTCAGCACTGTGGCCAACTATACTGGCTGACACTGCAAGGTGGACTCCATGAGGATCTGATTAAGTCTGTAATCTCTGTCCCTGCAAGTTCTTGGTCAAAACCCCTTCCAAATCCTGCACTTATCTGGTTTTGAGTACTGAGCCATTAAGTTCCTACGTTAGCACGAATGGCTGACATTAGCACATTTAGAATTAAAATCATATTCACACTTGATATTTCTAACTTCACATTCCAGAATGAGACATGCACAAAAATAGGATATACACATTCCGCAGATTGTAACTTCAAAATTAATGTCACATGATGCATTTTGCATAAAGCGCTTTCGAGTATGCATACTCTGAAGTAGGGATGTCAAATCCTATTTAACTGGTTAACTGATTAAGAGGGGATGGCAGGGAGAGATGCTTCAGGGCTCCCCTCCCCCCAACTTCTGGGCTGGAGCAGCCCCACCTCCCCCACAGGCAAGAGCTACACTAACCAGGCTGGAGCAGCCCCTGCCTGCAGCAGGCCAGTGTGCCCCACAGGTACGCCCCTGGCGGGGGGGTCCCTGGGCCCACCGTAGACAAAGGCTTCTCCAGCTGGGACAACGGAGCAGCTGCTACCTGAAGTGGGCTCCTCCATGGAGCTGGAACAGCTCCCTGTCCATGGTAAGCAGGGAGCTGTTGCAGCCCCTGCCAGTTAACTGGATAAACATTCACATCCCTAATGAGAAGCCAGTTTTCATAAAGCTGGAGGAGCAGGGAGGAGACTATGATGCTGGCATACTTCACCCAGTGCATTAAACACCCCATGTGAGTGAAACCAGACAATTATTATGTTCCTGAATGAACTCACACAGGATAATTATAGAAGACAAAAACACTCTGGCAACTGTTGGTGAACACTTCACACCGCAATCATCATTTATCTAATCTACCACGCCAGGCCTCGACCTCACAGAAAATCTGCACAATTCTTTCAAAAGACGAGCCTGGTAGCTTGAATTAATAAGTTTGCTAGATACTAAAAACCATAGACTGAAGAGACACACTGGATTTATAGCTTATTTCATTACAACAATCTGTAACCTACTAACCTTCTCTTTTTGTCCTCTTTTTCCACTCAGGCTCATCTGAAGAAGTGGGTTTTGCCCATAAAAGCTCATGATACTGTATTTATTTTTGTTAGTCTCTAAGGTGCCACAGGACTACTCATTTTTAAAGTTACTAATTAACAGGGCTACGACTCTGAGACTTTTTGTCCTATGACTGCAGAAGCGTTAACAGGCCACTCTACCTTCGGTGGTCCCTTAGGATATGTGCTAACTCAGGGGTGGGCTACTTCACAAATGTTTGAAGTGGCCCCTGGCCACCCCAGAAAGGACAGGGTCACTTCCGTGCTCCCCCACTCACAGACCCTGATTGGCCTGGGGGTGGGGAAGTGCGTGAAGTCTTTGTCATCAGACCCCTCCCCCTCCGCCCCAAAGAGAAC